TTATTATTATTATTATTGTTGTTTTATTTCACTCTCTTTTCCCTTGTGGCTTTCCACCAGACGTGACAGATGGTTGTCCCAGTCTGAAGCAGATGGTTTTCGGAGTGGTGACGGCCGTTGACCTGCTCAGCTTCGTCACAGGGCGGGAAAGAAGAGAGCGATCTCTGTCAGAACCCACTGATGAACTGTCCCCCCCACTTAAGATCTAATGCGCTACTGTAGGTCAGCAGGTGATAATGTTCTGTTTTTATTTGAAACAGCTGATTACTACCTCTGATGGTAGTGTTCAAAACGGTCTTTTTTTTAGGTTTGTACTTGTAGAAAGATTTTTGTTTAGCAGTCTTTGGGACTAAAGCCTTTGTTTGCTGTTTTGTCTGAAAAGTACAAGGTTGTTTCATAAGGTCACATTCATCTCACTTATGAAGATTAGACAAGGAGAGCCGCTGTAGAGAAGCAGTTGCACACTGTATGCTGCTTTACTCTGTGTGTACACAACAAAGAAATGCATGTGGAGGTTAATCAAATTTCCTGATGTAACTGTAAAGATGTCTTGAAACATTTTTATTGCATAATTTTTCTTTAATAAATGTAAATAAATGATTAAACTTGAAAAGAACCATTTCATTCTCTGCCTGGTTAATTTAAAGATCATGTTGCAGTGATAATCTTTGTCATGCTTTCCCCTCAGTACTAACAGGTAAGGAGATACTATATGCAATATTAGGTTTTGTATGCATTTATTTAATAAATATTTGCACTAAAACTGTCCAGAAGTCTATATATACAGTATATGTATGGAAGTAGGTTTGAAATATTGAATGAATAAAATGTAAAAATATCTCAGCAGTCTTTCAGTGTTTTACACCAGGTCCCTTAAATCTCAGTAGTCACAAGATGATTAGAAGAACAAGAAAAACAACCTTTCCCCTTAATTCTTCCCCCTTTCTCTATTAAGGGCTCTTAATTCTTCTAATTAAACAATATTGAGAAGAAAAATTATTGATGGTTTTTTAACCACTAGTTGCTCACATCCACACTAGGCTTTTTTTAAGCGTGAAACTGATTGGAAACCTCTGCTATAATCCATTTGTGATGGTATAAGGTAAATAATAGAGAAATCTGCATTATTTACACCTTTACATAGTGTACCTAAAAGCCACAAATAAACATTTGATCATTGATGTTTGTATACCATATGAATAGGATATAAATATGACTAAATCATCAGTTGTAATAATTAATTTATTACTATGGCTGTGGTAGCTTCAGTAATGATTTTTCCAAGTTTGTACAATGGGAAATGAATGCAAATATTCAGAGTGTTTGTGTTTGCCATGTGGTTTGTGGCGCATGTCATTTTCTATTGTTAACACCGTGTTTGCGGAGCATAATTAGAGTCGTTTGACATAAGGTTGGAACTCAAACTCCGTCTTAACTAACTCTCATTCAGTGCACTCTGGTGCTCAAAAGGAGCGAACCCCTTTACGTTAACGGCAACCAATCAGCGCTGTCAGTACAAGTTGATGGTGTGTGTGTGTGTTGTGTGGTTGCTGCTACGAGCAAGGCTAGACAGGCAGTATGGCGGAGGAAGCCAGTGCGTACGAGTTAGAGGGGCTAGAAAATCAATTGGAGAATTTGTTAAGCTGTTACTCAAGTGATGCACTGCGAGTCGATAGTAAACTGTTCTGTTCTGAGTTTTGCAAGGTAAGGAGCCGTAGCTGAAGTTGGTGTTAGGCTTGTTGTCGAAGATAAGGCCATAGCCGACTCCCCTCCCCCAGAACTGGTCGTTACACGACTAGCATTAGCAGCTAAACTCGTTAGCATAAAGCTAACGAGTCACAGTCCTGTTAAAACCAAATATATTATCTTAAAGCCATTTTAACATTATGCTTTATAACCCACGTTCAGATCCAGGTGACGACAGTGAAGCGTTTGAGTTAGTAAATCAGTCCGCATGTTTACTGCTCAGCTAGCGAGCTAACCGAGCAAGTCGCTCGAGCCAGCTACCGACTTAGCTCATGTTAGCTTGGCAAGTACGATGATTGTTTACCAAACTAAGATACCCGCTCCAGTGTTACATTTATTTGTACCCGGACAGTGCATTCAGTAACATAAACATTAGACTAGTAGCTAAGTAAGTTAGCTGATGTTAAACCTAGTGTTGCCCTCTGACTAGTAGCCAGCAGTAACGGTAGCTAAGTCATCAAGCGCTTGTTATACAGCCCAACTTCGAAATGTGGTTTAATGACCTGTCAACCCCCGACCGCAAGAGTACATGTAACTGTAGATGTAATAGATGACAACTTGGTTTCTGGTGTCACAAGATGTCCTCACATCCTTATGTTTTAATAGTACTCTGCAGCTAGTACTTATCATGTGTTTTCAAATGGCAGTAGTCGGGGATTGCTTGTAAATCTTTGACTGTCACAGAAGAAGCCTGAGTAAGACTACAGCCTTAGTACTAACAGTGGAAACTAATGGATTCCACTGTTTTCTCATGACGACTACAAAATATGTATTGTCTTGCCACAGGGGTGTTGGCATACCATTCACAGGCCTGACACTCAAGTTTTAGCTCAGAGTAAAAACATAGTCTGAGCACAGTGCTAACACTTGGAGACAGACTTTAGTCTATGAAATGTCAGAAAATTATGAAAAAAAAAATCCAGTAGTCTTGTTTAAACCCCAATGATATTAAAGTTATGATTTAAAAGAGAAATGTAATTTCTTCATGTTTGAGAAGCTAAAAGCTGCATTGTTTGACATTGCCATGCTAAACTCTTAATAATTAAGGAGTTGCTGATGTTTTTTTAATAGATCAGCTAATCCTTGCAGCTCTGATTGCTTGTGTAAATGTAGGCTGAGCCTTGTACCTGTTGCATTATAATTTACCTATATTTGCATTCAAAACATTACATCTTGCCTAAAACATAAAGATGCTAAATGATAATCATGACTGACTGCCCTTGTAACTTTTTTTTTTGGCTCATCTTTGTTTTGCCTTTTCCCTGTGCAGCTGGTGGAGGAGTACGCTTCTCACTGGCAGGTGCCTCTGCCTCAGCTCAGGATCCTTGAGATAGCTCTTGTCTACTTCACTCAAGCCTCCAGCTTCTTCACATCAAACTGTGATCATGTGGTTCATACGCTCAGTAGTCTGGCCTTGTAAGTACACAGACGTCCCTAGAGAGGTGCTTTTCAGTCTTTGCACACTTAAATAATTGCCACATATTTTATTTACTGTTTCCAGAGTGATGATCTCTTATTCCACTTGCATTTATTAAAGTCCACAACTACAGCCTTAGTACTAACAGTGGAAACTAATGGATTCCACTGTTTCTTATGACGACTACAAAATATGTATTATCTTGCCACAGGGGTGTTGGCATACCATTCACAGGCCTGACACTCAAGTTTTAGCTCAGAGTAAAAACATAGTCTGAGCACAGTGCTAACACTTGGAGACAGACTTTAGTCTATGAAATGTCAGAAAATTATGAAAAAAAAAATCCAGTAGTCTTGTTTAAACCCCAATGATATTAAAGTTATGATTTAAAAGAGAAATGTAATTTCTTCATGTTTGAGAAGCTAAAAGCTGCATTGTTTGACATTGCCATGCAAAACTCTTAATAATTAAGGAGTTGCTGATGTTTTTTTAATAGATCAGCTAATCCTTGCAGCTCTGATTGCTTGTGTAAATGTAGGCTGAGCCTTGTACCTGTTGCATTATAATTTACCTATATTTGCATTCAAAACATTACATCTTGCCTAAAACATAAAGATGCTAAATGATAATCATGACTGACTGCCCTTGTAACTTTTTTTTTTTTGGCTCATCTTTGTTTTGCCTTTTCCCTGTGCAGCTGGTGGAGGAGTACGCTTCTCACTGGCAGGTGCCTCTGCCTCAGCTCAGGATCCTTGAGATAGCTCTTGTCTACTTCACTCAAGCCTCCAGCTTCTTCACATCAAACTGTGATCATGTGGTTCATACGCTCAGTAGTCTGGCCTTGTAAGTACACAGACGTCCCTAGAGAGGTGCTTTTCAGTCTTTGCACACTTAAATAATTGCCACATATTTTATTTACTGTTTCCAGAGTGATGATCTCTTATTCCACTTGCATTTATTAAAGTCCACATGGCATGCTTGTTTCCAGTCATTTAATGTTTAATCTTGGAACCTCTAGATTATCTTGGCACCCCTTATAATGCCAAATAATCTATAATTTTTTTTTAAGAATAATAAAACCAAAAAGACTCTTTCTAAAAACGAGAGGATAGTCTGTGAACGTGCACAAGTCCTGCTGCCGGTGTTATGTCACAAGTGGACAGCAAAGCAAACTGTGACTGCATTAATTAATTTGAATTTCTCCCCATAGAGAGGTAAAAATGGTATATGTACCTATTAAAAGAGATGTGTAACACTCTAAACAAAGTGGATAATTGAGAAAGCCCATATTTTAACTGGCATAATGCAGACATAGTAACTTCTCCAGCCTTACAACAATTTTCTCCGTTACAGAGAGAGCACATTAACAGACATGCAACGTGTTATTTATTTATTTATTTATTTATTTAAACCTACCGTTATGTTTCACAGAGTAGAGGAAACATCACTCCCTTTCAGGTAGCTCTAAAGTCAGTGAATCCAACCGGTGGTCACTGCATCTTCCCCCACCCAACCACATACAGTGCCAAAGTAGTGAAATTGATTGCAGCAGGTAGTGTAACGACAATAACATCATGAATTGTAATCCCCTCACTAACCAGCAACACGTCATATGTGGCAGACACACTGGCCTCAAGCAGTCAGAACAAACAGGTACTGTGCTCTGAGCGTTGATGAGCTGATCACTAACTGCGGTGGGGTCTTCACTGCCCGGCTGCTTGTAGGTTAGACCCGGTCAGGTAGAACAGCAAGTCCCTGTACAGGAACGTTCCCGGACATGCAATAACCTCAGCCCCTGTATTTTTATCCACATCCTCTGGTTACGGTGCAGCAGCAGGAGGGAAAATAGATGCACACAATCAGGCACAGCCGAAAAATTCTGCTTTTACAATGGCACCAGCAAATGTCTGTGTTATTTATTTATTTTTTTTTTATAAGCTTTACTGAAAACATTCATAACAAACAAGGCAAAATAACATATTGCCAATATGGTGGGGCCATCGGTTGATGTCAGGCAAGCTCACATGAACGTGCAACGACCTGCAGATTATGCCCATTCAAGTATCTCCTTAAACTATCGCGTAACAGTTTTTGGTAGAAAAAATGTCTCACGAGCGAGAGTTTGCAAGGCGTGTATAAACTTACTTCTGCATAAAAATACTAGAATATGCATTCTCATTTTTTGATCTTTAGGTCACGTCTAAGATGATAATTCACTGTTGTAACATTATAGATATGTCAATGTAAAAGCATGACATGGGCCCTTTAAATATATTCCTAGTATCGTGACAGCATCCATAAGTGCTGTTGCAGTCACTCCCACTCAATATAGATAGGATGTACCCCAAGTGTTGTTTCCTCCTAAGTCTCTTATATGATTGAGCTTTGCTCGACCCGGAAGTTGTTCCAGTTGAAAAAGGATCGAGGACATTCCAAGACTCTTAGATCTGCTGTGAGGATTGAGGAGGCCGCTGGAGTAGCCATGCTGGAAATTACACTAAACCATCCTTTGCAAAGATCCTTTAGGGACTGACAGGTCCCTTCATTGGAAGTCGGTTGATAATTGGATGCTTCAGATGAAGAATAAGAGAAAAAGGTTTCTTCCATCTGTGACTTAAGAGAACAAGGAAAAGACGCAAGTGAGGGAAATGTTTACGTTTATAAGAATCTTGGGGTGTATTTATGTTGTTCAGTTACATGTTGCCACACAAAACCTGTGATGCTAAACATGATCATGCAAGTTGTGATGCAAATACACCTCTAAGTGCAGTAGAAGCTGGAATTAGATCTGCACTGGCATTTGTTTTGAATCAGTCCACTGTTTGACATGATGGTGTTCAGGGTAAAAACTAAAGTGTATGGTTTATCAAGTATCAAAATCACATGTAATAGCAATGAAATTTTGACAGACACATTTTATTTATTTATTTAACCCTCCTGTTATGTTGCGGGTCAAATTGACCCACGAATATAACTTCTTTAAATGACACAAATATTTGATATGAAGAAATGTTCATAACAGGATGTTCATTTCTTCATATCAAATATTTGTCTCATTTAAAGCAGTTATGTTCGTGGGTCAGTTTGACCCGCAACATAACAGGAGGGTTAAATAAAAAAAAAAAGTTTAAATCTGGGAAAGTGTTTTCATTACAACCTTAATTTTAGATTTGGTGGGGGGGGGTGTTTTATGATTTCCTTACATAAAGAGTAGTTTGGATGCATAGTTTGCGGTTGTTTTGCTTCCTGCTTGGTTCATTTTTGTTTCACTTTGGTTCAATTTTGACTGAATAAATGCAGCTCTTTGTCTCTGCAGGGAAGTGGCCTCCCACCGTTGACCCTTTAAAAAGCACACATAAATTTTAAATACAATTTTTATTAAACATACGTGCTACAAAGTAACACTTGCCAAATTAGTACCAAAAACAAACGAGCAAAAAAACCTTCAGGCCAATTGCATGCAGAAATCAGTAAACATATGGCACCCATCCCAGATGTAGTGTAGTATATTCAGGGTTATTGGTAGCAGTGTTTATGGAATTAAACGGTGATTTTGTTCGCTGGCTGGCACATTGCACACTTGTCATCCAGGAAAACCTCTGGCTTGCTGCCAACTGTTGATGCATAAACCTTCCATCCTCGGTCCTGTATCCTGCAGGATTTCCCTCAGCTTCCCAATTAACTTCACTGCACTACCTCTTTATCACAGTAACCATCTTTCCATACAAATAACTGAAGTTCTGTGTGTCTGGATAATAGATTCTAGGTATAAAGTAGTTTTACACTGTTTCAAAGTTGGATTTATTGATAGATGCCAAGTCATTTTGTTTTCCTCACAGGAGTATTTTTGAGTTGCTGCTGTTCTTTGACCAGAAGAACTTCCACAAGGAGCCACTGAAAAACTTCACTGTGACATTCCAGGTGAGAAAGAAGTTCAGATAATTGTCGTAATGGAAAGTAGGTTTTGTGACCATTTATGTTTATGAATTGCAGATTAGAAACTTGCAGACCTCATTTTATAGTTATTCATTATGTGCTATGCCTTACAGAACAGTAGATAATGTAAAACGGTTCAGTCCATTGTGATACTAGATGTTGGAGCTTTTGGCATTTTTTTTTAAAACATACTAGTACTAGCATTATAAGTTGAGGGTTTTTGTCCCTATTTCCAGGAGTGTTATTTGGCCCTGGCAAGGCATCAGAATGTTCACTTACTTCAGGTGGATCGTTTGGTTCGGGGAGGCGGGCCTTGGGCCAGTTTGGTCTTACAGGCAATTCTAAGTGACTCCAGTTTACCTCAGAATGAAGGTAGGCAACATATTCAACATTTGTGGTATGCCTAGTATATTATCATTATGAATATGTATGTAGATAATGACAATTAAATAATCGAGTAGATACACACTATTGCATTATACTGATTGGTTTGTGTATATTTCACCTTGTCTTGGTTAAATAAAAATGTATTGTTAAAGCACATTTTAGTTTTTTTTTAATGTTATCTACAGTTAATAAAAATGTATTGTTAAAGCACATTTCAGTTTTTTTTAATGTTATCTACAGTTTGTCTGAATGTATTTTGCTTAAAGTTTAAGTTTAACAGTATCAGTATAGCATGTCGGTGCAGATTCTCAGTCATCCAGGTCATAGTAAGCTGAAAAAAAAACTTAGAAAAATCAACTGGACTAGGTTTTTATGTCGAAGACGTTTCACCTCTCATCCAAGAGGCTTCATCAGTTCTGCCTGACTGGCATTGATTCGGAGATATTTATCCCCATCGGTGGTCAGTCCTTTGATGCCCAACACTGTCCCCTAACGACTGAGTCGTTATAGCCCAGTATTGGTGAGCGTCGTTGCCTGTCTCACCTGTGGACTGACGCCTGTTGTCCTGGTGGGAATGTTTGGGCAGAGATCTCAAAACAGAGTTGTAGATGAATGACAAGTTGTATCTTAAATATCTCCAACTCAACGCCAGTCAGGCAGAGCTGATGAAGCCTCTTGGATGAGAGGTGAAACGTCTTCGACCTAAAAACCTAGTCCAGTTG